TTTTTTTTTTCTGTAATGTGATTTTTTTTTGTGATGCACCGCATTCCTGACCTTAAGCTTTCCTGCTTCATAGTTGCAGACTATAGATGAAATGTACATTTTTATAATGATAAGTCACTTAAATGTTAGAAACTGTGCTATTGTGAATTCGGTGCTTGTTACTGTTCAGATTCCATTACAATATTTGTATGTGAAAATATAGATGAGTCTAGATACGATACTATATAATGTTTTCATCTATCTAGAGCTATTTAATGACTCTAGAGTAGTCTGGAGTATTTAGCCTGTATTAAACTGGCCTAATTTTCTTAAACCTTTGTTCAGATTTATTACATAAGAAAAAAAGTAATTAAATACCTAGTCTACTTCATCACTCAGTCAGAAGGTTGTCCTGTATTTTTTGTTTTCAAGTTTTATCTGAAATTGGAAAAGTGAACGGAAATAATCTATGGAATACAGTATCAGATATCACTTTTTTTTTTTTTCTTTTTTTTCCAATTAAGTAGTAATCCTCTGATGTTATAAATTACGACTATACAATATTGACTAAATTACAAAAGTTGAAAACTCTGATTTGTCTGCCTTGAAACTATTTGAGCACAATCAATGTTCTATACCTGCAAATAAGTTAAAAAAATTTTTTAGTCTGATTAATAGAATATTTATATTTATAATATATTTATATATATTTATACATACTATATTATATTAAATGTTTGTGAGCTTACTTTTGATTGCATATTCTCACCTCAAGTACGGTGTTCAGTTTTGGGTCCCTCACTACAGGAAAGCCATTGAGGCCCTGGGGCATGTCCAGAGAAGGGCAACGAAACTGTGAAACATTGTTTGGAACACACGTCTTCTGAGGAGCAGCTGAGGGAACTGGGATTGTTCAGTCTGCGGAAGAGGAGGCTCACAGGGAGACACTGCCCTCTACTACTACTACCATCTGAAAGAAGGTTATGGTGAACTGGGAGCCGGTCTCTTCTCATCAGGTAACAGAGATAAGATGAGAAGTAATAGCCTCAAGCATCACCAGGGGATGTTCAGGTTGGATATTAGGAAAAAATTCTCCATGAGCGTGGTAATGCATTGGAACAGGCTGCCAGGGAGCAGGTGGATTCACCATTCCTGGAGGTTTTTCAAGAAATGCGTAGATGGTTTTACTGAGGGATGTGGTTTAGTGGGTAATTTTGGTGGTGTCTGGATGGTTGGACTAGGCAATCCTAGAGGTCTTTTCCAACCTCAATGATTCTATGAGTCCATTTCTAGCTTTTGGCACAGATGTGATAGCTATGTATCATGCCAGGAAATTACAGAGAATGATGCTAAAATTCATTAAAATTCAAAGGCATCTGGAGTTATCATTGGGATTTGAAGACTGAAAAATGAAAATATTCAAAGCAATACTAATACTAAGCCTTTCAAAATGACTCCAATAGGCATACAAGATTTCATACTGGTCCTGTAAGTGGATCTAAGAGAACTGATAACATCAGCATGTTTAACATGAATTAAACAAACATGGCAGAGCACTAACAATGTTCATATTGTAAATTGTATGCCCTTCTGTTAATCAAGGTAGAGAGGTGCTGCTTTTTATGGTCTCTATACAGTTATGATAATTGAAAAAATACAGGAACTGCTGTAAATTCCTGATGCAGTGTAAGCATTAACCTGCTTACTATTAAGCATGATTGACTGCAGTCTTTTTTTCTTTTCCCTGTTTTTTTTTTCTAGATGGTAGATGGGGTTTTTTGTTTGTTTACAAAAGTGGCAGTATAATCTTTTTACTGCAGAGTTAGTGCAAAATAAATTGTATATATGATTATCACCCATATTTTTAGGTATTTTAGGGTACATCTACTTTTTTTTAATATATTTAATGAGTAGGTAATTAAGAACTAAATTGAAACTGAAAATTGCAAGATTAAAATGAAATAATACCTCAAGCTGGAAATGCTGTAAATCTATCAGCTTTTCTATATGTTTGATGTAAGGAAGGAGAGCATGATTACCCAAAAATGCCATCAATTGCATTCGTGTCTTATTCTGCTCATCTGTATATCTTTAAGAATTCCTGGCCAGTCCACTGCTCAAACATAAATCTGATTTGTAACATATTCCAAAAGCCAAGTCTTTGCTTTCTTCATATCTTAGTTTTTCTTAGTGATTTACACCATTAATGTTCAAAAGTCCTCCAGGTTATAAATTTTTTAAAAATGCATTCAAGAAAGTAACTTTCATTTTGGAGAGCAGCTTTAGACTATCCTCTTCAGTAGAAATCCAAATATTTGCTGCAATAGAATGATTTTTATTAGCTCTTTTGTTTTACTGAATGCATTTCAAATTATTTAAAGTGAGCATTGCTCTGTTTGGTGGTCATTTGTTGGTTTGTTTTCCTTTTTTTTTTTTTTTTTTTTTTTACAGTATTAAAATATTCAGGTTTTTATAATCTACATACTTGCTGGAATGCGGTTTTGCTCTGTTGTTGCTTGTGTTCTCCTCCTTTTGAACCACAAGTGTGTATTATCTAACTTGTTAGATATTGGATTACTTGGCTTTTGTTCCTGGTTTCAGATTTTGATTCTTTCTTCTCTTCTATATTGGACCTTAGTAGAATTTAGGAAGCTTACTCCAGGAGCTTCACCTACAGTTTTTTCACTTAAATCTTCATAACAATTGCTTTTGAATTGATTTCTTAGGGTATTCTTTTGGGTTTTTTTTAAGCTGCTGAGACATAGAAGTAGATTTTTTGATCTTTAGTAATACTGGATGAAGTTTTGGCTATTGGTCTCTTGCTATTAGGCTCTCATTGTCAATTTAATCACTGCTGATTTGCATGACTAACAATCTAACTGAAGGGAAGTTGAGTCTGGTTGTATTATCATAAAGTTGTCAGCTGGAGTTCAACCTGCATTTGATTGCTGAGGCGATACAGTAACAAAGATATGCCTCAGTATTTGTATGCCTAAACTTCATGCTGTTTAAATAATAAATAGGTGGTCTCTTACATAAAACAGTTTAAAGAGCTGTGTTATCTGAGCGTGCAATTATCCAGAAAAGTAAACCTCAACATTGTAGGAAATAACTGGAAGTACTAGATACCATCTTATTAAAAAAAGAGAAGAGCTGCTGCTTAGAACCAGCACTTGAAAATAATGACATCTAAATATATCTTCTTAGTAGATCTTCCCACTACTACAAAAATCTTGCTTTGCTTGATTTCTATACACAATAAATTTTGTGTAATTTAACAAATCCCTTCCAATTTCTGAAACATTTTAATTTTGAGTGGATTTTCTATATGCACTGCTATTACCATACAAGTTAAAAGTCTTACCTTTTTCCCAGAGTTGTAGATGCTTGATTTTGCACTCACTTTAACAAAGAGAAGTCCTGACAACTTTTTAGGCAGACAAGATGTTGATCCATACTGGACTGGTGGAAACCCTTTCATGTCCCTGGCGTAGTATAAAATGTGTTCCTTCAAATTATTTTTTTACACACAGATTTTTGACCAGGATATCTGACTGACTCTATGATAAAATAAAACTACATCAAGGCATTCTGAATTATTTTAGTAGTATACAGCCTTTACTATATATACTAACATAGAAAGGATGATGGCATTTTAACTTCAGTAGTAATAACTCTCAATAGATCATTATTTTATATTTATTTTATATTATTCTTTATTATTTCTGACACAGTGCCAACTTGCTCTTAGTAGCTTAAAAGAAAAAAAAGAGACTGATTTTATCCCTTTTAATACAACTTGCTAAGGGATTACATTCTATCATGTTTCAGGTTTTGGTACTTAGAATGTTCTGGGTCTTTTTTAAGTTTGTCACTTTGCTCTTTATGGCTGTTAGCGTGTATAAAAAATTATAATCACTTGGTGGAAATATATAGCTGGAGTCTATATACAATATGGTATGATTTTAACATTGGAGGTTATGCCCCAGCGGGAGTTAATAATTATTTTATAGAACGTGTGACTTTTAACCAAGCTTCCACTTTCTCCTTCAATTCCTTTACACATTTTTAAAATTTTTGGTCAATAATCATGCTGTAAAACTCCCTGAATCATTCCACATCATTTTACTCAGTATTTGTATTTACAGTATCTGGAGAAAGCCTCCCCCAAATCCAGAGAACACTGAATGGCAGGGAGTGTGGATGGACTTCGGAGAGACCTTAGAGAAATGGGCAGCCCTGGTGTGTTAAAGTTTCACTCCTGGACACCTACAGAACCCTGAAATTTTAGGCAGCTTTAAGACAGCATGGTTGCAGCCTCAGCAGATCTAAGGAGGAACAAATTATTTGGGGCCTGGCTCATGTCTACAGAGCAATGTTCAACACTATTACAGAGACAGACAGACAGAGTCTAAGTCTTTATAAGCAGATACTCACAGCTGGCCTCCTGGAAGGGAAGAGCGCTCTGCCCCATCACCCAGAACTGGAAATCACGTGAGTACTGGAAAACTGTCGTCTGGGAAGCGTAGTCTGTCTCTTCTCTGTTATCTTCCTCTCAGAAAGCCAGAACTCACGTGAGAATAGTTGAGACTGATAGGAGCACAGGACCAGGGAATCGTAGTGCTCTGGCACCAAACAGCTTGCTGCATGATGTCATGATATGGAATACTGATAAAACCAGGACAACAAGAAATTAAAGAATGTACATTTTGGAACACAACTAGTTGCTGTGGACCTTATGGTTGCACAAGGTACGTGCAAGATCTGCAACGTTTTCATTAGTTATTAACTGTACTTGCTTTGCTGATTTTATTCCAAAGACGGAAGTATCACTGGATTATGAAATATTAACTCATTGTATTTCAAATGCTATATACAACAGCTCCAAGGAAACATCTGAATTTTTTTTCTTATACAAGTGCTTTCTCTTAATATCTTTCTCTCCTTTTTTCGAGCTCTGGTAATGTAGACGAATTGTAGTTCCCTTCCATAGGCAGATGGATCAAACGTTCTCATCATTATATAATACAATTTCCATTTTATTTTAAACATACTTTGCATGATATAAAAATATTGATCACAGTGAGCTTTAACAATTGTTACTGCTATAAACAAATGCTGCACAATGGTTTTAGTGGAAATAAATTATATAGTCATTATCTCTTTAAAAAAAATCACAAGAAGTAGAACCTAGGCTGTTTGGTCATTGGCAGAAAATAAGTCCTTACTGAGTTCTTTATAAAACATGAACCCCAGTTATTTTCTACATTTGCTTTCCACATCTTGAGAAAAGCACAATGTATTTGTTTGTGAAAGCCCCACAGGGTCTCTGGTGAACATTAAATTCCAAGTATTTGCAAAGTTTCTGTTGTTCTTTTGTTCTAATGGAAAAAATGTACACCAAAATAGCAAGTAGCTTTCTTCACTAATTCATAAGTGGTCTTTTCCAATATGTGGGTACACAGCGGCACACTTCTTCACTGAAATAAAATCCAGCATCACAGCGTTTCGTTCGGACTGTACATGGCGGTCTGTAACAACTGAAAAAATAGAGTTAATAATTAATATGTAGCTATCATATTCTTGCAACCACTTTTAGCTGGTCTGTTCTTCACAAAACACAATGCTATATTACTGTAGATAAGCAGGTTTATTTCGAGAGATTCTCAGGAATATTTTTGAAGTATTGCCTGGTTGTAGCTCCATTCAAACCTTCTTTTTTTCCTCTCTAATTTTGAAGATAGAGTAATATTTTTCTACTTCTAAAATGGTTTACAATCAGCCTACCATTCTCTATCCTGTCAAGCTTGAGGTGGCAATCCAGACTTGGTTGAGCATGCTGTTTTCCTACCCAGAACTGTTTCTTACTTCTTTACTAATGCAGTGGGCCTGCATTACCCTGTTTATGGTATGTATGTTTATGTCACATCATAACTATGATCTTGAAAATGAGAACATACTTCCTTCAGGTAGTAAACTCCTTCAGTTACTCTCTGATTTCAGTAGCACTACATCTGTACTTCATATTACATCTATGTGCATTCTGAAGTAAGATCAGTGACTACATGCTTAAGACAAACTTCAAAAAAAAAAAAAAAAAGAACAGAAAAGCCTCTCTTAGATTCAAATAAGTTCAATGACAACAAGCATTAAAGCATACATACCTAAAAAGGGGGACAATTTCTCCTTGACTGAAGAATAGAACTCATACAAAGATAGTTATCTGTGGTTGTCCCTGAACTCCTCTTCCTTTCCCTTTTTTCATTCTTTTATTCTATTACAATGAGAATGTGACCTAAAGTAACCTTACAATAACAATGCTAAATACTTTCTAGTGTATAATGGAGACAAAGTACAAGTCTGGTGTGTTTTTTTTTGTCCAGACACTGGCAATGACTCAAATGAGAAAAGTATAAGTTTCAAATTTCAACAGTTATACTTGAAACCTGTATTTAAATAGGTGCCTGTTTGTGAAAGACAGACGTTATGATCTATTGCTAGCTTCAGTTCGAAACCACTACAGTATACTCTAAGACAATTTCATAATCCTTTTTTTTCCCCAGGCAATTTTTTTTCAGGCTTGAGGCTAATCTTGTTATTCCTACGGGTAAGTTAACACTCTGCATGCTTGATTTGGATACCACTTTGCAATAATTTGTTTATGATACCAGGTCTGGATTACAGTTAAGTTACTTCAAACTGGTTAGTTCAACTAATGAGACATGAAGAAAGCAACAAGGAATGAGGAAGCTGCAAATATGGCATTTATTAACTATTCATATCTTGTTCAGTGTTTTCAGTGCTAATAATCCTGGATTATTTCACAAGTGTGGTCTTTGTAACTAAGAGAGTAACATTACTTCGTGCTGCTTCAGTCTATGTAAGTAACACACGTACACCTGGGATCAGTTTAACAGCTTATTTTTGGGTCAATGAAAGATATGGAAGATAAAGACGGAATTAAGAGAGGCTTACAATTTATGGCTACAAAACGATTCAATAAAACAGCTAACAATGTAACCACAAATTTTACACTTTAGATAGATTAAAAAAGCTAAAAAACTGAATTTTTACCTGCACGTCTGGTGATGAAATCTTTTTCCTTTTAAGAAACATTTATTGGGAGATTCTATACATTCGCAGATGCATTTTGCAGGATTTAGTGGCTGATGTTTGGGACAGGTCTTTTTACATACACATTGGCACTTTTCTTCATCAAATTCTTTGTTGGGCCCACAGGAAGCGGGGAGCAGTTTGTTTTTGCACATGCATTGACATGATGCCCTGTCTAATTCTTTGTGAGGGCCACAGCTTGAGGGCCGCACACCTCCTTTGCAGACGCATTGACAGGTTTCTTCATCCAGCTCTTTGTTGGGCCCACAAATATGGAATCCTTCAGACGTGTCTGGAAAAGCACAGAAAAGTTGCACAATTATCAGAATTTTGTTTTGTTTGATTCTGATTTTGTACTCCTACTCTTGTATTTTTACATGGAAAAAAAACAACATCCAATTCAAACTTTGAGGCATTTCAGGAACAAATATAAATCAAAAGAGAAGCAATGTTCTTTAATGCTAGAAATAAAGAAAAATAATCAACCTCTTAAATCAACTCTTATAATTTCTTCTTTAGGCAAATCAAAATATGGAACTACAATTAATCCTCTAAGCAAAACTACTTACCAGAATCTCCAAGGTGAGTAGAGAAACCAAAATCTTGCTGTGCCAAGCATCTGCAAATTTGATTATTCCAGACATGATTTTTTGGACAGGTCCTGTTTGCCACGTGGCACCTATTGAATGAAATACACTGCTGGTTTATTGCCATAATAACAAAAAATTGATTTTGAGTGCTGTTTCCATTTGTTTCCCTCCATTACAAAAAGCTTTCATAATCTTACTTTCAGCTCCTATCACATCAGTAACTAGTCAAGGTCCTGCCCCCGTGCAGAAATGTTCAACCATTTGCTGAAGATATCATCTCACCTTTCAAGTTTTAGCTCTGGCTTCCAAAAACCACTGTGAGTGCTTTCTAACCCTTCAATGTAAACCTTACGTATCAATGGATCAGTGTAAAGATATCTGTACATGAGTTACTATATAGGTGGTACCAGACAAAATTTTCTACATTACTTTTGGTGGTACAAAAATGTTCTCTGACAAACAGGCATAAGATAAGTGACAGTAATTTCTGACTTACTGTTGTAAACCAAACTCAAATCTTCGAAACGTATCCAATCCAAAATCCAATTATTAACATCCTTTCTTTACACAAAAGTTGTCATTAACTGATTATTTCTTATCAGCCGCTCAAATCTCAGACATCTTTCTCGACTCTAAGGATTTGGACTTCAGCACTAATAAAGTCACTTTAGACATGAGAGAAAATAAACCATTTAACATATAGTTTTCTGTATTTGCTAGATTACAGTTAAAAAGTCCTAACAGCAGCTGTTAAAGGATATGATGCTCCATGGGTAAGTTCACCACACAAAGGATATGTGAATAAGTATTTTCTGATCTTCCTTGCTTATAATTTCTTCATCACTACAGTTGCCATTATACTTCTAATGAGTCATGCCTAATTTCATGCATCCAGGCTCTGTAATCTACTCATTATTTCTGTAGTACTTCTAAAATTCTCATCTGTTAAACCAACGCACACATAATCCATTTTAGGCACTTTCTCCTTTCCATGAGAGAAGCACCATTACTCACTCACTGAAAAATGCAGGTGCTAAGACATTCTTCCATGATTATCATTCAAGGATACCACTCCCCTTCACCACATTAAACAGCTCTTTTCCTGTAGTTTAACATCACCCTGCACCACCTCATGCTTTATCAAGCTGGTGTTTCCTGATTTCACTCCACTAATGAGATCATCCTTGCTCCCTTGCTTGGCACACAATGTCCTTTTGCCTGTCTCCCGTTTCAGCTTGGGAAATGGCACAGAGAATTTACAGGCCTATAATGCTATTTTGTTTAAAAGCTGAATACAAAAACAACTTGCACCTGGAGCAGCTTGGTCATACCACACATGTTTAAAACTTACTAAAGAAGGCATCCAGAGTGACAGTGTGAGAAAACACTATGCACAGATGAACTACACTAAGGCAATGTGATATGAAAGCCAAGAAGTTGAACATCAGAATTGGAGATTGACAGCAAAAGGGATGAAACTGCTTGTTTACAAGTTCTTCTCTAGCTGCTAGGAAAGAAAGATACTACAGAAAATGACTGAAACATTAAAACGACTTATTTTAGGAAAGTTCAAGAGGGCTTAAAAAAAAATCAGACAAAAAAACTTTCAAAAAAATTTCAATACTACTTTTCACATTTTCAACATAAAATAGTATGCTAAGCCATTACCTGACACATGAGAGAAATATGTAGCACCTACAACATAGATCAACTTTCTAAGCACCTACTTTACTTACACTACCATGGAAAAAGAGAGAATTGGATCTCTATGACATGTATTGAAGCAGGAGAGCAGCGCCTGGTCTTTACCTCTAGCCCCTACTGCCTGTAAAATCACCAAATTTCTAAAACAAAGCATCAATTTTCTGAGCTGCAAATCTCAATGAAATTTTACATAAGCAGAGAAGGATACAGCGTAAGAAGTCATTAATCCAGAAGGTATTCTGAAACACTAGTTAGCGTGAACTGACATGCCTCAGCTGTACAAGTATGTAGAAGTAGCTACCACTTACTTATTAAAAGGAAATAAATAGAATAAAGTAGGAGAACAGGTAAAGCCATGGGCCTTAATTCAAATGATCAAGTTGTGCAGAAAATATACTTCATAAAAAAAGGTCAACAAGTTATATTCAGTCTTACAAGTAATTTTTCCCTTCTTCCTAACGTGGATTGTGACACAGTCCAGACTACTAAATCCTAAGCATTACAACCCTAAAAACAAAAGTTTATATTCTCAGGATTTTCTTTTCAATAATTCATGAGATCATCACATCTCTCTTAAAAAGAGCACATACAGACCTGCCCCTGTAACATGAATGCTATACGTGAGGCTAAAACCTCCACTAAAATACGCAGTGGGATTCCAGAAAGCATTCAGACACCCATCAGCAACACAATCAATTGCTTTTAGTTTAAATACTATGACTTCTTTTAAAAAGAACATATTAAAAACAAACAAACAAAAGCATCTTAATTGCTTCGAGATCCTGGAAATAAAAGTAAAAACAGTGCTTAAGAATAAAACCTATACAGACTTTATTTAATCTAGCATTATAGGACAGTCAGAAGTCTGGCATCTCCATGCTTCTCTTTAACAGGTAGCTGTTTCCTGGCTAGAATAAAGCCTTACCATGATAATTACAGCTGCTCTTAGCATGGAAGCACTGAGAAGCTGCCAACAGTCACTGTAATTTGACTTTATTATTGACTCTTAGGTTTTGAGTTTTTAAAATCTGTGTATTATCCAATTAATTAAACCAACACTAGATTTATTCCCTAATGCTCTTCTAATCCACTGTTCATGATCCAAATTTTGATGAACCAGTTCAACAATTTGAATTCAAACAGAATGTAATCCGTGCGTAGCTTGAACACATCAGAGAACATCCCAACTTAAAGTGAATGAAAACACCCAAAGAAGACAACCTAGTTTGTTTCTATGGGTGTTTTAAACTGTTCATTCACCTTACTAAAAATGCATACAACTAATTCCAGGTTAGCTTTTATTCATTGGTCTTCCATAAAGACCCATTAGACTGTTATCTACACATCATCTACTTAATATTTATATGCCATGAAATCAAACAGTCCTCTAAAATGATAGAAATGAGTGCTTCAAGTGCTGAAATAATCCTGTCAAAATCACCAAGCCTATGGACTAACTGAACAAATCTATCTGTCAGTTCAATGGACTACTCATTAACACTTTACTTCCTCTTCCCACTCTGATCTGTTTTCACTTCTGGCAGGATTTTTCTTTTAAAAAGTGTAGGACTTTTTGGCTGTTTCTGTTTTATTTTAAAAGGAAAATAAATACAGTTTGAGGGAGAAATATCAAACTCCTTATCTGTAAAAATAACTTTTTTGATAGTTTTCCTTTAATGTTACTATTACAAGTGATTTTTGTTATTTACTTTAACACTTTAATTTCACTTTAGCTGTTTCCATTGAGAAACCAACTCATTACTTTTCACTTTCTACTGATCTACCCCTAGTTGGCACATTGGTCAGAAAGGTACTGAGCTAATTACTTTAGTAACAGTCTTTTGTTGTAAAACAATATCAGCTCCTTTGCAAAATGTGTTTTGCTACTACTGATACATACAAGTTTACCCATCCTAACTGTGAAAGCTTCCAGCAATATTTTATATTTAATCACATAGGCTTTCTTATAACGTGAAAGGCAAGACAAGTCTCATACTTACTGGGTTTGTGTTGCTGGCAAGGAACGTCTTATGATAGAATGAACTTGTCTGTAAACATCCAACTTAGACATGCATCGGCAGGACGTGTGATTGGCAAAACTGACAGTTACGGGTTTGGGGCCATGAGAGAGAGGCACTGTAATCTCAAATAACTACAGCAGGGAAAGCAAAGAGAATAAAAGAACTTGTTTATAGTCTAGCAACAGTACAACTGAAGATAATACAGACATATATATACAGACACAGCCATTGGGAACTTAATCTCTGCTTTTTCTTCTCTAATATAATTCAGTGAAATATTTAATTGAACTGATAAATCATTATTACAAAAATTATTAAATTTAATATTTTCAATGTTAATTCCTATTACATGCCTGTTTGCATACTACTGCATTCAATTCAAAGTTACCAAAGATGCTAAGAAAAATGCATGAAAAACTCATTCTTCTAGAGGAAATTACTTCAAATTGCCAGTCTTCTTAATATTTAAAACATAGTACTTGGAATATGCATTGGAAAGTTGGAAAACAAGAATAATTTTTAAAAAGGAAAAACTGCAATTGGTTATAATAATACATATGTTGCATAGTAATAAATTGTTGCAAAATTTACAGAGCTTGTTTATAACAGCACTATGTTGGATTTAGACAAAGCATTTTTGCATGAAGAAATGTTGATATACATCATAAAGTATAGTTTTTCTTTCTGGTATTGATATAAATGTAAATTAGATGGTCATCTAATGGAACGTATATTGAATATTTTACCAGAACATAAAGAAATAATCAGTTTTTAAATATTCATGTATGCTAATTAATAAAATGCCAACTTTAGTGGGAAATGTAGTTTAACAAGTGAACAAAGATTACTTCAATGGTATCTTGCTAAAAAAAAAGCAGAAAAACTTGAAGAGATTTCACTTCAACACTAAAATCCCAATACTCTACTGAAAAGTTAGGACATACTTTTAGATCAAAGCCTTGTTTATAATCCATAACTTTTATAGTATGGCAGACACACTGCATGCTAAAGGAACTGGAAAAAAAAAACCAAAAAACTATAATTTTAAATGATTCAAAAAGCAAAGTACATCTACAAGATATCTCAAACACAAAATCTTGCACAGAATTACACAAGTGAGCCTGGGTGCTGACAGGCATGCAGGTGCAGCAGTGTGGTGTGTACTCATCAAGTACCCGCAAGGTATGAGTGTGCTTGTACAGCTCATATAAATATCATATTATTGCTATTCTAAATTATACAGCTTAAACCTAAACTTTGTAAAGCGTTGTCTACTATGACGAATATCTATTTAACAAAATGAATTCTGGCAGTATTTAGTAACTGAATTTTTTAAAAGTTTAAAAGTGGGAGTGCCATCATAAAATAACTGAGTTGGTAGAAATATTTGCATTATACTCTGTTACACAGAATTACAATGCAATTAGCTTTTAATGCAAGAACTACTACATCCATTATGCTAGTTTAAAAATTTTTTTCCAGTAACATCTCAAAATTAAAATTAATCTGTATTTGGTTCTGTAGAAGGGAAAACCAAATAAAAAAAAGTTTCTCATGTAATCACTGTGCCAATAGAGAAAAACAACCCTTCTATGGAGTTAACATGGAAAGAACTCCTCTTTTTAGAGAGACATTTCAAAGAATATTAACATTTGCATTCCTGCTGCAATTGCAAAATACCGTTCTTAAAATTTTGATCCTGGATCATTAATGAGTACAGGCGTAAGTCAATTAGTTTAGTTTAAAGTTTGGTACTAATAAAATGAATGGCAAATCCATTTTTCCCTCTGTGATAATGATATTTATTTGGACAAGCCTCCAGGGTTTTTATTAAGTTCAACAGAGAATTCAGTAAATGGACTTTCTACTGACTTTTTGTTATCATTATACTCATTTTTGGCTTACAAACAAATATTGGATCCTTCACTTTTTGGGCTTGTTTAGCTTGGAAAAGACAAGGCTCCAGAGAGACGTCACTGTGGCCTTCCAGTACTTCAACAGAACTTGAGGGACAGACGTTTTACACAGTCTGATAATGATAGAATGAGGGGGGATGGATTTAATATAAGAGAGGGGAGATTTAGGTTAGAAGTTAGGAAGAAATTTTTTACTCAGAGGGTGGTGAGGGCACTGTGACATGTTGTCTGGAGACTCTGTGGATGAATATCTCTGGAGGCATATTCAAGGCCAGATTGGATGGGATCCTAGGTAGCCTGGTATAGTAGGTAGCAACCCTGGCCATGGCAGGGAGTTCAAACTAGGCAATCTTTGAGATCCCCTGCAACCTAAGCCATTCTGTTTCTGCACTGTCATGTGTCATAAAGTCCCTTGTAAAAAACATTCTTCTTCATATGAACTTAAGTGTGGGACAATGAATATGCATCTCTCTCTGCTCTCATAACATTATGAATTTGCTACTCCAAAACAGAAGTAAAAGCCCATTACAGAGAGGACTAATAAAAACAGCTGAAAAGAAGCACGATTATTTGCATGAAACAAGCTACAGCTATCTGAAATAAAAGGGCATGCTTTGTTCTTCCTCCGTTCTTGGAGCGCGTTGGTTTGCCATACTGCAAAATCTAGCAGATTTCAGACCACTGGAGTGGGCTGTGTAGGAAGCCGGTTACAATCCCTAAGCACTTGTTGGCCTTCAGGAATACGCTAACATAAATTTCACTAAAAATTCTAACACTTCCAGAGTATGAGCTGAAGATGTGAATTCATGTTTATCACTGTTTCATCTGCAGTTATCCACCCACTTAAAATGAGAAAGGTATCACTTTAGAGATGAATGTTGCTAACAAGTATTACCATTCATTAGTACACCACAAAAAAACCTCGCTAAGTAACAGAAATGTAAACTGGATTCCTTATTGTCATTGGTCACTTTCAATTTATTCTACTAAATTCTGTTAAAAGCAATGTGTTTTACAACACCCTCTAGAAGCTACTGTTTATAAACAGAGTCAATAAAACAAAGACAACTATTTATCTTAGAGATTATATTATTATACTTCTTGTGTCACTCCGGTCCTCATTTCTAGAAATTGCTGAAGATGATACATAGGCCAGCATTTCTGAAAACAATAGAACCAGATCTGTTCTTCCTCAATGGAAATGACAGAAGTAAAAAAACAAAATTGGATTTGTTGACTTGTTCTTCCTTCTCTTTCTAGCGTGTCTGCATATATACTAGGAGACTATATTCTGATGCATACTGAACAGAGGAGACATGTATTCTATATCTAACAGGAAAGATAAATATCAAGAAGGCATTTCACAAGAAAAACATAATTGAAAAGCAGACTGTTATAGAAAATGTGCTTAAATAATCTTTGGTATTTTGAAATCACATTCCTACTGAAAAATAACCAGTGTTCTGGTCTGAGCTGTGCTAGCAGCATCTCTAAATCCAATGAAGCTGTTTAAGTGAAAGTGAATATACATAAGTTGGATTTGAATCACCATCTCAAGAAATCATTTCAGGTTAGATTATCTGACCTCCTGTGATGCTTTCTGGTTTTGTCAGCATCTCTAATTTATTTCTTGCTATTCTTCAGAACAGTGATTTCAAAAACTTTTGTCACTACAGGACATACTTGGTAACATCTAACCACCAAATATCAAGATCTAGAAAGAACTTTGAGAAAGGCACCATAACATCTGTGTATGAAGCCAGTTTAGCCTGCCTTCTTTCCTGACACTATCGCTGGTTGTCTACTGTCCCTGTGGGTAGCTGCTCCTGGAGGGTAGTTCTCCAGTGTTTTGGTCTGATGCCCCCATTCAGTAAAGGACTGATTTTAACTGTATTCTCAAAGGCCCATATCTTCCCCTCCTTCTCAGCTTCAAATGAAAAATTGGACTAATTCATGCTACATGCAATAAGGTGAAAGACATTTCTACCAGGTCTATTCTTAGCGAGCCATTTAATAAAGACAGACATTCAGGATGAAAGACTGCAAAGAGTGAGATTCTATCTCCAAAAGAACAAGAGATCTAATAGTAGTAGGTATTAGGTCAGGTTATTTCAAGGTGGAGAGCTTTTATTGCTCACAGTTTTGAGAAAAATAATAATTATAGTGTATGAGACAGCAAATTAAAGTATATGAAATGATCCTAATAGACTGATCTTACACACAGTGTTCTGTACCTGTGTGCTACCAACACTGCATTAAGGTCAGAAAACAAATGGAAAACAACCACCACAGTTACACATAGAAATTACTAAAGATTACTGTATTTACAGCTTCTTTAACCAAAAAACTCGATAGCTCAGATTGAAAAATCTTGACATTTTAAAACAAAGAAGAGTAATTTTCTGTCCAATTTTTTCTGAGTACAACAAAAAAAAAAAAAAAAAAAAAAAAAAAAAAAAAAAAAAAAAAAAGAAGAGGAACAGAAAGAGAAAATGAAAACCTCTATCATAAATAAGTATACACATCACAAATCTACAGGTAATACTTTGAATATATTTATCCCACCATAAATCTTTCAACCTAGCCAAAACTGAAATGCTTGTTTTCAGAAATGAAGAAAGGTTCATTTTTCTTCATATATTTGGACTACAGACTTTAGGGTCTATTGTTATAGTCCATAGATATTTTCATAAATATCTGGGCACTTAATCACTTTTTATTCTCCATAGTACTGATTTTTAGCAAAAATAAATAAATAAATAAATAAAAAATCAAGTAGATATTTCACTATCCAATATATTTCATAAATCCTTCAATGTCAGGAAAAGATACCTATCCATCTTCAACTCATATCTTAATTTTAGAATATGTATAATATTAAAACACATACTGTTCGCAAGGCGCAGCACTGAAATACAAATACAATTTGTACTTTAAAAGTCTGATTTTGTTGTTGTTCAGAGGAGTTGAGGAGACCTGTAATTTCTCAAGCACAGCCTGTAATCAGGTGTATTTTTGGCTTAATTAATACTTAACCTTCATGCCACTGCACCAGCCTAAACTAAAAGGCAGCATGTCCTACAGATCTCAATGTCAGCTTCTCTTGCTGGTATTTTCTGTCTCTTGGTACAAAGAGGTATGCAATTACACTACTTTTCAGACTAACACAGAGGTAAGAGAATAATTAGATCCTTTCTAGAAGCATGAATGCTATTAAAACCCATTTTTTCCCTAAAGTTTAATTCTTTTATATGTAAATTAGTTTTTAAATCCTCAGAAACAGAGGAACATATGCTCTATGCTGTACTTCTTAGGTGAGAAACAGCCAGAGGATACAAGGCAAAGATAGCTCTGACTTGTTCCATCCAAGCCATCTTGACCTTTAGCACTCCACAATCTGCAATTACTGTGATGCCAAGTGCAACAGTCTCCTTGCCAACCTGAAGGGTGCTCCTTCAGCTACCCTTGCAAGATCTTCCTGGCTAGAACTGTGTCCCACATATACTGCCATGTGGCTGGCTGCTTCCAGCTCCCATACTGGTGGAATTCTTCCTTCATTCATTTACAGAGCTGGAGTTACAGAAACAAGGATAGGGGCAAACTAGAACTCAGAGTGATTTTAACTGTAAAAAAAATTAAATCCAGCAGTGGAGAGGACTCTCCTACTCTTGATCAAAAAACCTATCAGCATTCCAGTCAAAGAAAAATTCACATATGGTAATGGTCACCAATTCTTAGTAAGACACGTATTTTTGATTCACTGCATTGACAACTCCCTTCAGATTAATAGGAGCTCATGCCATACTTTCCTGAAGAAAAATAGTTCTTGATTTCTATACAAAGTATATTTCATGCTTCAGTAGCTAAATTTATTTATTCACTGTTATCATCATACGTGCAGCTGTATCAGCACACACAAATTTATCAGTAATTTATGAAATATAAAATAACAAAACTTTCCATATTAAGATGAGAGAAGTTTATCAGTCTAGATTACAGAATTGGAATGGACCTTAAAGCCCACCCAATCCCAACCCCCCTGCCGTGGACAGGGCTGCCACCCATCAGCTCAGGCTGCCCAGGGCACCATCCCCCAGGGCACCATCCAACCAGGCTGTAAATTAACACCTCCAGGGATGGGGCTCTTATAGCTTCTGTGGGTGTCCTGTTCCTGTGCCTCACCACGCACCAAGTAAAAAATTTCCTCCACATCCAACCTAAATTTCCCCTCTTTAATTTAAAGCCATTCCCCTTGGTCCTATCACTATCAGACCATATAAGAAGTCATTCTCCCTCCTGTTAGTAAGCTCCTTTCAAGTAGTGGAAAACTTCAGTCAAGTCTCCCCAGAGCCTTCTCTTCTCCAGGCTGAACACCCCCAGCTACCCCAGCCTTTCTCTGTAGGAGAGGTACTACTTTTTTCCCAGATTTACATTAACTACATTATGTTTTCTGATGGGCTGCAGTTTGTTTTGGCAGATTTCCCTTAAATTGATTGATTCAGTTTCCATTACTTGTGATCTTTGCATTTCCTAAAGCATCAGTAAGGCCAGCCAAACATAGCCTGCCTAAGAAAGCACAATGTGTCTAAAGAGATTTTCAAGCTAAGGATATAGGGCTGTTTGATTTAAAAACACTAAACATTACTATACTGAAAAGAATGAAAATAGGTTATGTGAAAAATCTTGTATTATCATTATATATTTTACTATCTTCTTTGAAAAAAAAAAAAATACCAACAACTGTATTTCAAACCTTAAGTCTGATATCAGGTAGCTTACCTAAAATCTTGTATTTCATATTTGTTAATATGCTATTACCCCTTATTCTACCTTCTTGTATTTGAATCAGTTTAGATTTTTTTTCAAGAAATTTTAACAGAGAACATTAGAGATTGATATCAATCTATCTTCCACTATTAATAGTAGTTACTCTATCATTATGATCATTAGTCTAACATAGAAAAATGCATGGGAAAAGACATAAATGGTAAAGTTCAAAACAAGTGAAAATTCTTGTGTTACATACATCTCCAAGTTGTACAAAGGAACGCAATGTACATTTCAAATATGGCAAACAATTTTAAGCTGCTAGCTTGTTTCCTGTGAGAAAAGCTCCTCTAAATCTCATTTCAAACTCTTTGGAAAGATGTTTTCCCTTGTGGAACTATTACTCTAAACATGAAAAAAGACGATTTAGGACCTTTACATGACATGATCTGTAAGAAGCCAAAAAACTTCCATTCTGCCAGCCAAGAAGAATGGAATGAGATGGCTTTTTGACATCTGCTCATTGCTTCCCTTCATTCCACAACTAACGAACTTATAGGTGGGGCATACTAAATGTACAGCTGAGGGATAGGCTGCATTGTACCAGGTAGTTCCAATCTCTGTAATTGTTGAATTACTTGCCATGTAAAAAGAGAATGAATATTTTATCGATAACAATTTAGAAAAAAAAAGCAATCAAAACCCCAAAATGACTCATCCAATCACCTTCCCCACAGACCTTTATTAGACAAGCCAAGACATACAACAAACCTCTGCTAACCTGTGCTATTAGCAGTGTCATGGATAAAGGAGAAGAAAAAGATCTACTTCATTTTTCAAATTTGACTAGGGTGATCCTCAAATGTTGTCATAGATCTTGCACCACGTCTTATTTAAGAAATCGTTTCAAAACCCAGCCAAGATTGTATAAACCCTCCTTAGCAACTAAAAAACCCACAGATTTTGTTGAAACAATCTGTATTAAAACAAAGCTGAATATTTTTCTATTTTTTCTCCTAAGAAAGCTAAGTAGCTAGAAAGGAGAAACATTAGAACTACTGCCAGATCTAAAGAACTGTTGACCTCTCTCTGGACTACCACACTGTTTCACAAGTCAATCTGGGAACATCTGATCTAGTCCATTTTCCTGCCAATCAGCCATTTGCTCTCCATAAAAGTATTTTCTGTAATGAGCTCTTTTCTTTATGACTAATTCTGATGAAAGCTGATATTAACTTTATTTAGATTTTAATGTCTGGAACCAATGCTATGGTTTGCCTTCACAGTAAGGCCTCCAGCTGAAAAATTTGCTTCACATTAAATCATTTTTCAGCAGGGTGATCAGTGTGAGACTTGTCTTCAGGAATTTACACACCAAAAATAAGGGTACAAAAAATGGTGACTTATGAATAAACAGAAAACAACTGGCTACTAAGCATTTGTTCTCCTTTCATGCAGAAAACAGAAGGAAACAGTAGTGAAAATAAGTGTGCAGGGCACTTGCATTCCATAGAAGAGCCTTGAATCCAGTACTTTTTTCTTCCTAATGCTCATCTGACATAGTACCCGGTGTCTGTGGTCATATAACTTTAACGAATTTGAGATGACACCAGGTAAAGAGAGATAGCTATAGCTCTCTTTATAAGGCTGTTGGGTTTTTTTTGTTTGTTTTTTTAAATTCATTCTGTCAAAAACCAGACAGAATCGGGAAACATAAGATATAAAATGCAGAGATTATTATTATTTTGCAGGATAGGCAAGAAAACAAAATGTTATTGCCTCTTTCTTCTCATAAGTCCTGTAACATTTTCCTTTACAGAGCTTTCAATACTTTAATTACTCCTGTATCATCAATGACATCAAGAACTTAAAAAAAGAAACTCAGTACTAGTCTAAACATTTTACTCTAGGCAACAAAATGACTAATGACTTCAGTCAAAAGATATGAAAAGAAAGATGAACAGAACAGGATTATTTACCCAAAACTTACACTGTACTCCAAGACCAGAAAACCTTTGCTAAATGTAACAACTTTCTCTAACTAGATCATCCTTTCTTGCAGTAAGCTAAACTTTATATAAACTGAATAACAATAGAGGGTCATATTTGTTCGTTCTTAACGTGAAAAAAAATATATTTGCATCTTTCAAGCAACTAGAATTAGGACAGCATTAGGGGAAATAACTACAGAGCTGAAAGTTATCACTGTTGTAACTTTTCCTGCTCAAGCAATTTGGAGTTGCATTATCCCTGTGCTATGTGGCTCTTTAGCCCTAGCTCACTTGGGATTTAAAAATTTTCAGATTTCAGGTTTGGTGAGAAGTGAATACAGAAGATTTATTTAAAATGAATAATATTTTTTCCTGTAATTTTCTTTTTTTAATTCCCCTTTCAAGAAGGTTCAGAGCACTGAGAACTTTCATGACAGGGACACGACATTTCCAACCTAGTAGTTGCCTATGCAGTTGTATATATGTTTTATAAACACATACTACTACGATATTCAACTTTAAGTATCTGGTTGGAAAATGAAGCAAGATTTACAGTAAATGAGCTTTTTTTTTTTTTTTTTTTTTGAAGAAATCAGATAGAAGAGGAAAAAACTCTCAACCTCCACCACAAAACCCTACTGAATATTGTAACAAGAGCAAAATACCCTCACAAACATTGTGATTATTTTTTACATGACTTAAGATGACATCTTTCCTTTAACAGAAGTTCAAGGCATAATTCCCACATTCCTACCTGCTCACTAGCCCTGATCTAGTCCAATGAAGTTACATGAAAACACAACAGAAAGCTAGATTACACTAATATCTCATAATACATAGCAAAGTTTGGCTCTAAAAAGGCTCTTTCTGCAACATGAATCCTGTCTGCACATGTCCTAATACACTTTTCACTAACAAAACTGCAGGCTAGTTTTCCAGACATTACGTGCCTCACACAGCAGGCAAATAGTAAATGCAAAACAAGAGAAAGAAAAAGAAGAAAAAAAAAGGACAGAATTAACTTTCATGGATAATCTCATAAATGAGAACTGGACATAATAATTTTATTCATTTTATAGCAAAGTATATTTGGGGAAAGAGAATGTTAAAGGTTTGGGTTTTTTTTTTCAGCCAGTAGTTTTTCCAGCTGTTTTTCCTAGGTATTCTCTCATTCATTTATTCACTTTTCTCATAGTGGCAATAAGAGAGATGTAAATATGCATGATCATAAATGGATCTGCAAGGTGCACGTGGACTATAGTAAGAATGAGAACTTACTGTCTTGCTGATGTAATTTGTGCTGATATTCATACACTGGAGTCCTTCACTATTGCAGCAACCTCCACATCTGTAGATGGATACACACGGGGGTTTAAAGAAGGTGTTTGTAGTTGCTCCAAACTCTTTCCCCACATCCACACACACTTCACGTGGCATGCACTGAGTTTTTCTCCATTCAGTATCAATACCTGCCAAGTTATAGGGAATTTTGTATGTTATAAAGCAGCTGTTTAAAAACAATACTCTCTTACAGTAAATCAATAGGAGGCTTTTCATGCTTAGAATCAGAATACGTGTTGCAAGTGTCTCATCCTTTAGTGGATGAAATGCGTGTTGTTCAGCGTTAACTTTGAGCTAATTTCTTCTTCACAGGAATGTGCCATGGAGAAGATGTCACAGTGATGCTTAGAGGGAACCTAACAAAGTTGGGCAGATATACAGAAACCACAGCTGAAGCTGATACTCGTCCTTTCTTTTTTGCTTCAGGTGAGTTCTACCTTGAACTCTAGGGAAGCATTGCACATCTCTATAAATTAACATGAGTTAAGCTGAAAGACCATATTTATGCCCAGATTATCAATGCAAATTTAGGCAAACATTTCATATACAGCCTTTGCCAAATATAACCTTATGCTAAACAGGCATGAGAACTGCAGTTGTACAGTCCCTTTATTCTCTCATGGAGCCAGTTGTTGGTAGGTAATTCACAGAAAACAGGCTCTGCAAGTTCCATGATTTCCAATATCAAGTCAAAAACGATTGCTATAAATCCTGTGTTCCCTTCTCCTCACAACTGTGAGCGAATTATATTTTTAATCAGGCCATGTGAAATATCAAGGGGCTATAGAAGTATTTATTACAAATGAATTATTTCATCTCCTAACTGATAACGTGTCAGAGAAGAAAATGTTATCAGCCACGATTTTACAGAAAGTGAGCAAAATCATTTCACTGAATTGAACTGTTAACGCTCCCTTTGCTTTTTCCAAAAATCTTCACAGTCTCTACAAATTAGGATTTCTAATACCTAAAGACAAATACGTTTTTTTGAGCTGATAAAGCAATCTATACCTTCCTGGGAATAAAGTACCAAAACTACTTCTGTGGAAAAGAATTGTGTTTGAGGGTGGTTTATTGATGACGATTATCTTTAGCATATTGCTGACATAACTGACATGCCTTTGGATTTTAATTTATTGCATATTACAACCTATTTTATATCTTGCACTTACTTTTCAGGATCTCTGCATTATAATGTGCTGCGGCAAATTTCAATGAATCATCTGATCTTGTGTCAGAGCTGGAGTGTTCCCTGTTGTGTTGCCAACCTCCTTTCCTCAACTGACATTTGAACATTTTCCAGTATTCTGGGTAAAGTACTGTCATGAGTTCATCCACACTGGACACAGATCGCAACTGCTCTTCCAGGTCTTTGCTTGCATGAGCCTGTCAAAGTAACATGCAAGATTAATTACTTTCTCTATTACACAAGGTTTGCTGGAAACTAGCCTGAAAGACAACTCATATATTGTAAAATAGAGTTTTGCTCAAAGGGGTCCTCATTACAACAGCTACTTCAGTCTGTCGATGTCAACACAGCACCCTATCAGCAAATACTGAAACCTTATCATACCTGTAGTTTAAAACATCTGGGTGAGAAAGATGCTGTGGAATTAAGCCTATAGAAGTACAGTTTTCAGATTAAAAACAAACAAAAAGCAGCATTCTTTTTTCCTGGAAACAAAGCTTTCCTGATAAAATTTTGAATGCTTAAACTCATGCTATTTAATATTTAACATCAATTTTTTTGACAATTTTCCAAAAGTCTCGAAAAATGGAAACACTCAAATACAAAAAGGATGAAAGCAAAGTTAGGAAAAAAATAGTTTATGTGATTTTGTATCATTTTAAGGATAACTATGGTGAATAATTTCTCATTATAAGTACTAATCGTTACATTATTATGAATCAAGGACTTTAGTACCTTTGAGATTCTGAACAGCACACTCCTGCACTGTTAAGTTTCAGCTGAAATTCTTCAGGACTAAGGACAAGGTACAATGGCTTTAAACTAAAAGACGGTAGGTTTAGGCTAGACATCAGGAAGAAATTCTTCACACTGAGAGTGGTGAGGCACTGGAACAGATTGCTTAGAAAAGTTGTGGATGCCACATTGCTAGAGGTGTTGAATGTCAGTTGGATCGGGCTTTGAGCAACCTGATCCATCTGGCGCAAGATGTCCCTGCCCTTGGCAGAATGGTTGGAACTACATGGTCCTTAGGGTCTCTTCCAAGCCAAACCATTCTATGATCGTACGAGCAAGTTAATTGAAGAGAAATCTAAAATCCAATGAATTTCACTTTCTTATTTACTCACTTTTACACAGACTCATTGCAATAACATTTTCCTAAAAGACTACAACTCAGATTTACATTCTGATTTTCCATTTACTCCAGATTCCTAGAAGATTCATCTGTGCCCTCAGTTGAAACAATACTTAGCACCAAGAGTCTGCTGTTATTGCTATGATTCCTTGCCCATCCTTTCACTCGTGAATTGTTGACTTCCCAAAAAGAAGAGCGGTAAGCAGAAAATGGTAAAGGAACTTTAGTCACCTTCTCAGCCTTTGTGGCCCTTAGATGGCAGTATGAGACATGAAATACAGAGGTGCACTCTATAAAAGTCCAGCTGTTAACTGACCTTATGTATATACTAGAAAACGATTGCTTTGTTGACACAAGAAACACAGCTTAAATAACATGTACATGCAAGACCAGAAACTAGAGAATTTCAAGTTTATTCTTTATCAGAGTTCACTATTAAGAAAATAAAAAATTAATTCAATAATTCTGTCAGTTTTTCAGTGCTTAAGCACCCAATTAGCTTTCATAAGTTATCAAATAAATGCATCAAATAAAGTAACTAGTTCTGAACTAGCCCATCCAAACTAAAACTGTTCCTTGTCTCACAAACATCAAGAAGAGTAAAAAATGGTTCAGGACAGCACATGCTTCCTTTCCAAGTACCAAATCCAGGAGAAATACTTTGGTAAGACAGACTCAGAGAACTCATTCTCATAAGTACAGACACAAGAGAAAATGCAGATTCCAAACTCATTTTACAGGTCCAAGTGTTGTGGGTTAGAAAAGAAGTTTTCATTCAAGCCTAGTTTTCACTCAAGCCTACCCACAATGTCATGAGAAACCACTTTGTCCTTAGAGATTTTCAGTCAAGCTCTCAGCCTCATTCAGGACTTGATTCCTTTCCTTGACCTCTCTGGAGTCATCTCTGATCCAACACATGCAGTAAGCAGGATCTTAAGCGCTGTTTTCAAGAAGTTACCACTCCAAAACACCATTCCATCACTCCTTGCTCTCCTAGGTTCTCAACAGGTGGGTCACAGACGAACCTCCCTGCTGAACAAACAACTACTTCAGCCAATGTCTGCCTGCTACCAGCTCCCTCAAGATGTGAAAAGAGAATGGTGTGAGTAGCCTCATTCCTGCCAGGCTGTTTCCTAAGAGCCCTTGAGTGGAAGTACACTGATGAAACAATGTAGGAAATGACAAGTAACGGGAATATGTCACACAGGAGGTCACAGCTGGGAGGCTCCTTGTATATCCAGTCACAAAGCTGGATGCCAGTCCATTACATACAGGGTGCAGAGAGGGAGACTGTTTGCTCATCTAGCACCTAATAGCTACACCCAGCAGATGGAGGGCTGGCATAGAATAGGAAAGGGAACTGGTACCTAACACCTTCCAATCACTTCCTAAAAACTGTTAAGTCATCTGTAGACAAAATGTTGGCTACTGCTGTTTTAATTATCCGAATTACAGGCCTAGATCAGTAGAAAAATAAGTTCAAAATGACTTGGTTGAAGCCATTGTATGTTGAAGCGAGATTATATATGATTGAAATAATTTTACTTTTGGAATCCCTCTCTGGTGAGGAAGTCAACTCTGTGTGTGCATATATATATATATGTATAACACACGTGTGTGTGCACATATGTATATATAGACACATGTATTTTTCAAAAAGAAATATATGCACAAGTATATACACATACACATACATAGAGTATCCCAGCTCTATGATCTCTTCTTGCTATATTCACTGTGAGACTACAAAAGGCATGCATTTTTGAATTGAGGCAAATTAATCTGCGTCAAATTGCTTAGAAGATCATAACTGTACACAGCTTGTAGTATGACTTGATTTTTGCACTACAGTCAAAATTTATAGTTGCCATGAACACCAAAGTAAATCTTAAATTTTGGTTGGTTAGAAAAATATTACATATAGTAAAAACACTAGATCATTTAGAACTGTTAAAAGGAGTTTATAAGTTTTAAGAATTGAATGCAACTGCTTTTGTAAACATAACAGTTGTCTGGCAACATTTCCTATTTTGTCCAAATTTTGTCTAATTTCACAAAATTTGCTGACTCTGTCCCTACTTTCTGTCCCAAATTACTTCCTCTTTTTCAAAATGTGAATTGGCTTTTAGTTTAGGACACACTTTAAAAATTATTTCAAACCTAGAATTGCAATGGAATTCCAGAATTCAACACCTACTTATAATTTATGGCAAGACAAAGAGAAAGTAACAAGATAAAAAATGCGCTACAGAGGAGCTCTTTCTTTTTTTTCATAGCCTCATTTGAGATCACAGTTACTGCCACCAAGCTTGTTATTCCCAAATGTAATCTCAAATTAATAATAAAAAAAGGATACTAAATAATTCTCTGTTGTCTGAAAGTAACATGTCTTTCACAAGTGAAGTTTAATACTTTTAGGACCAATCATGCTTTCAAGCCACATGACAACAACCCACTGATTTTCACATGAATTAGTTTTAGTACACTCCACATTAAGTCTTGGACTAATTGCTTAGATGTTTTACTGCAAAGACATTCTGTGTTCTATGTCCAACATTGAGAAGGAAGCTTAAAACCAGTGTCTCCTGAGGTTGGAGTTTTCTCTGTCCTATGATTTTTATTTCTTTTGCTCTTTGCAAGTCAGTTGAGAGGTTGTTAGTCTCTATCCCCTTCCCTTCTCCTTTCCTTTCTCCTTTCCCCTACTCTTTTTCCATTCCTTGCCAAGTATGACCACTGAACTTGTAACTGCCTATCGCTGTCCTTTAGTTGACCTTTATACTGTTTTTATTGTTGTTTTTTTGTTGTTGTTGTTGTTTTTTCCTATGACCAATTTTTTTGTCCCAAGAGGTTGCTTAAAAATACCCGAAGCTAGGATTTAGCCAAACTTTTGACTACACAGTCTCTACATGATGACAGAAAATAATGCATAAAAGAACAATTTAAAAATACAGTTCATTTGACACAAATTAATTTGCCTAAAATACAGTCAGTAAAGACAAGTCTTGCTTCATTCCACTTCTTCCACATTATTACTAAGGATCAGAGGAAAATGGGAAATGCATGCATAAATGCAGCAAAGCTTGCTGATAAGATCTTCCATTATAAATTATTTGAGAACATATTATTCTAACAAAGCATGCACTTCACAATGTGTTTTTTCACTACATGGAATGTCCAATTTTCCATAAACTTATAGCTCAGGAAGAGAGAGGAGATAAAGTAGGCTCCACAACCATTAACAAAATCACATCTCCAGTAGATTTTCCATGCATTACACTGACTGTCTCTAACATACCCAGTGTCTGCCTCTATTACTAATAACAAAGGTCAGAACACTTAATATCTGGCAGAACGCATGACACGTAATCGATGGTGCAATGTGCTATAATGGTACTTTACACATCTGCTCCAATTATAGTTGTCAGCTCATTTTATTTTCAAGGATTTTGTTGACAAACTTTAATAAGAAAATTCTGTCTATAAACCCCTCCACTCTAATATGTATATATTCTGTATTTACTGGCTGATTGAAATGCATTAAAAATCAAGCAGTTAAATTAGAATGTTGAAACAAACCTCTCAAACAAATGGAAATATTGCAAAAGTACATATAAACATTTTATTTGCATACTACTTCATTGTTATTTTCATGTATTTCAGCATTGTTTTTATGAGTTCTTATCAGTAAAAAGAGAAAATATATTATCCAGACTTCAAAATTGAAATCAACTTTTTTTTTTTTTTTTTTTTTTTTCTTCTCCCCACAACCATCATATAATGGCTCAGATTGGAAGGAACCTTAAAGTTCATGCAGTTCCAATCCCACTGCCATGTGCAGGGTTGCCACCCACTCAATCTGGCTGCTCAGATTTCACCCCACCTGGCCTTGAATGTCTACAGGGATTGGGCATCCACAGCTCCTCTGGGCAGCCTGTTCCAGTGCGTCACCACCCTCTCTGAGTAAAAAGAAAAAATTCTTAACATCTAAACTAAACTCACCTTCTTTCAGTTTAAAGCCATTCCCCTGGTTGTATCTCTATCAGATCATGTAAAAATTAAAAAAAAAAAAAAAAAAATTCATCTTCCTCCTACTTGTTAAGCTCTCTTCAAATACTGGATGGCCACAACGATGTCTCCCCAGAGCCATCCCTTCTCCAAGCTAAACAAGCCCAACTCCATAAATGTTTCTTCATAGCAGAGGTAGTCCAGCCCTCTGATCATCTTTGAGGCCCTCCTTTGGACCCACTTCAACATCTCTACATCCTTCCTGTATTGGGGGCCCCAGGCAAAGACACTGTCCTCCAGGTGGGGCCTCACAAGGGCAGAGTAGAGAGGCATACAATCACCTCCCTGCCAGCCACATCTCTTTTGATGCAACCCAGGATATAATTGGGCTTCTGGGCCAGAAAAGCACACTGCTGGCTCCAACTTTTTACCCTTGGGGATCCCCCAGGCCCTTCTCCACAGGGCTGCTCTCAAGGTGTTCTTCTCCCAGTCTGTACTCGTATCTGGGATTGCTTCAGCCCAACTGTAACACCATGCACTTGGCCTCATTAAACCTCATTAGATTCACATCTGCCTACAATTTGAGCACATCCAGGTCCCACTGGATAGCATCTCTACCTTCTACTGTGTCAGCTATCCCACTCAACTTGATGCTATCAGCAAACTTACTGAGTGTACACTCAATCCTGCTGTCTCTGTCACTGATGAAAATTTGAAGAGCACTGGCCCTAAGATGGACCCGAGGGGACACCTTTTGTCACCGGTCTCCATCACTGATAACAACCCTCTGGCTGCAAACATCCAAATTCCGTACCCCCCAAGCAGTCCAGCTTTCAA